AATTGAGAAGAAAGTTTGGAGACTCAAGGTGTATCCACTTCATTTATGCATATTAAAAGTCAAAACTACATGAAGGATGATAATAGAAAGAAGTAAGAAATTGAGTGAGAGAAATAGAAAAATAAGAAATGAAAATAATCTCCTTTTAGGAGTACACTTCAACTGATCCTAATTAAATGTCTAGAAAGGACAATAGAGGAGATGATGGAAGAATTGAAAAAAAAATTCTTAATAAAATAGATGAGTATGAAGTATAGAGTTTCATTTGAAATAGAATAATACTCTTAGCAATGAGATTATTGAGTTTGATCTTGAGGATGATGATTCCTTATAAGACATGATAGCATATATTAATATGGGTTATACCATAGGGTTTATGTAAAAGGAATAAGAATTTAATACTAATTTGCAAGTATACCCACAAAGAAAAGGTATTTACATCTCACCAAACAAACAAACCACTAGCCTAACATAGGCTAGAGTTGGTTGTCCTATAAAATCATCTAAAGTGTCTGAAGAAGTTGTATGGTTTTGAGAGGTCCTAGAATGCTTTATGTTTAGGTTATCTATATTTCAAGTTATTTATTTATTATAGGCAAAAGGATGTTTTAGTTTAAATTTAAGTTTTAATGATTTGTTCTTTTATTAGAGGATGTTTATTTTAAAAGATGAAATTATTTAATTTTAAGTTATAATAAATCATGATAATTGTTAAAATAGTTGCTATTTGCATGTTTTACATTTTTGCAACTTGTATAGTTTTGATGATTCCAAACATTATTGTTCAAATGTGTAGTTATCTCCTAACAATTTTAGAAGATTTGTATTTGCTCTTGTGTGTACTAATATTTCAGGAAAATCAAACTCCAGACTACGAAGACTTCAAAATTCAGCATGAGATACTTTGTGTATTTGAAGCTTGTACTTTTCTTTGAAATAAACTTGAAAGGAGTGATTATAATTGAGTAATAAAAACATACACACACACATAAGGAGGTCATATAAAATTTATATGATCGTACGGGACGATATCAGTTCGTACGGGACGAATCAGACAGTTATCTCCTATTAAGATCACATGGAACGAATAGGAAACTGGCCAGAAAAATTTTTCTAAGTCCTATTCGTCAGGACAATTAAATTATTCATCCGGGACATTTGTTCTGTGTAAAATTTTTGTCCAGACGAAATTAAATTATCGTACATTATGAGTTGCTCTCTGTAAGATTTTCGTCCAGACGAATTAAATATATCCAGGACGATTGGTCTCTATAGATTTTCGTCCAGACGAAATTAAATTATTGTACATGACGAGTTTCTCTTCTATAGGATTTCGTCCAGACGAAAATTAATATCGTCCAGGACGATCTGGTCTCTGTAAGAATTTCGTCCGGGACGAACCAATTTTCGTCCAGACGATACAACGAATTAGGATGTTTTTCTGCAGTTTTTGGAACCGACTTGTAATAACCGCTCGTACTAGACGAACTTTGTTCGTACTGGACGATCAGCTTGTACGAAAATATTTCGTACACATATACAAAGGAGGTTCGTTTAAGGCTTTTTAAATAATATCATCCAGGATGATCCACGATCGTACGGGACGATCCACTACATATAGAATTGAAAACTTGTAATTTTTGAGCAGTTTTTCTTATCTTTTGTTATATAGTCCATATATAGACTGCCACCAATCTTTTTGTCATATTGATCTTCATGCCTTTTGAGAGAATAGCAAGGAGAGAGTGTAAGAGTGCATTCAAAGGAGTCCTACCACTGGAGCGTGAAGGCTTCACTTGGAGTTTAAAGTAAGAATCTCTACTTATGAATTGGATTACTTCACTCTTTATTTCTTTCTTCTTTAGATTCTTGTGAGAAGATTGAAGGAGATCCAATTGCTGCCCGGACACTTAGAGAGTGTGACACACAGGGTTCGCTGGCTAGCTTGAGGTGTGAACAGCCGAAGGGTCTCTGCCCACACTAGGAGAGTGTGGAAGGAAAAGGGTTTCTCTGCCCACACTAGAGAGTGTGAAAGGATAAGGTTTCTGCCCACACAGGAGAGGTGTGAAGGACGAAGGTGTTCTCTGCCTAACACTAGGAGAGTGGTGAAAGGACGAAGGGTTCTCTGCCAACTAGGAGACGCTGTGAAAGGACGGACGGTTCTCTACTCTGATGGTAAAAGGAGACGATTCTATGCCGCCGGTAGTGGTGAAAAGAGTGTTTTGTAAAGGCTTCTCCGCTTGCTTGGGTGCAAAAGGAGATCCTATTGGTATTAGTGCAATTTACTCATAAGGTGCTCTGGGGAGTGGATGTGTGGTCAGTTTAGACGACACCACTATAAATTGGTGCATTTAATTTTATGTTTTTTACTTTTTTGCCATTTTTATTTTAGTTTAAAAACTCTGTGGTTAAAACGTTTTCTATAAAAACTTAATAAAAATTTTCATTTCGGTTCAACACATTTTCAAAGAGGGTTTAAATTTTTAAAATACCAATTCACCCCCCCTCTTGGTAGCCTTGGGACATTAACTTAGGTCTAACAACCTATTTACTAGACTCAACAATAATTAGTTACCCCAAGTGAAGTAAGTTGTAATAAAGCATGTTATTTAGTAGCCCCAAGTGAAGTATAGGATTAGTATGAAAGTTTGAATAGGTTGTTAGAATTATTACAATTGTTCGAATGCTAACCAAGAGGGGGGGGGAATTGATAATTTAAAAATCTCTTAGAAACTATATAAAATCATATTATGATTTTAGCACAATTTAATTTTTCCAAAATCAATTATTCAACCAAAAAATTAAAAGTGCAAAAAAATAAAAATATAGTAAAAATAAAAATAAAACAACACAGAAATTTATAGCAGTTCAGTATAACGAAACCTACATCCACTCATTGAAGATTCCCTCTTCAAGTATTGCACTATATCGAAGTGACTCATTTTGCTCCCATAACAAGGCGGAGAAGCCCTTACAATTATCCTCTTTTCCATCAATCCCCATTACGGTAGAGTACCACCATCCTTTCATAACCTCCAAGTATCAGTAGAGTACAGTCATCCTTTCACACCATTAAGTGTCGGTAGAGTATCGTCATTTTTTCACATCCTTCTAGTGTCAGCAGAGTACTGATATCCTTTCACACCCTCCTAGTATCGGTACATAACCATATCTTCTCCAAAGATCTTATCTTGAGCATCTTCAAATAGGTAAGGAAGAGATTTGACAAACTTACAAATAGATCCTCACCTTTAGGCAATCTTATGAACCCTTCACAAATTCCACTTGCAAGATCTCTCTATCCATACTCTCAAACACTCTCCCAAAGAACTCTCACTCTTACTTAAAAAAAAAATTTAGAGAAGGATTCATTTTAGTTAGTTTTTAGGATTCATTTAAAGAAGGATTCATCTCCCAAAGCATCTTCCTCTTTCATAAATATTTTTCATCAATATAGAGATGAGATTAATACTCCAAAATTTTTAGAGGTGGTGGTGGTGTGCGGCTTTCAAGCGATCCTTGATGGCTGCTATTACAAAGGCAACAAGCTGGAGGTTGAGGCATTTGAAAGGAAGTTGCTATGACTTCGGTGTGCATAAAGTGTGATTTGTTCGGGGCTTTACTTTAAGATTTATGTAAATTAATTTAAAGAAAAACACGTTTCGTTATTTTTTTTTATAAAAGATACAAAAAGAAAGATGAAGAAAATATCACTCGGAGTTGAGAATCCTAAACAAATCCTACACATGGACTTTTTTTGGAGTGATTCCCTCACACTTTTGCTCGCTAAAGTTTCTTCCACTCCTAAGAAGTGTTTACTCACTACAAGAATGACTAGCCACTCCACTCAACGTAACTTCACTATCTCTAGTCTATCTAATCTCTTCTAAGTATCTCTATTACAAGAAAACGAACAAAATAAACTATTTATAGCTTTTACATAAACTAACTTAGGCGCCACTACACTTGATAGTGGCGCCACGGTACTAGAATGATGAACTAGTACCTTAGCGCTGCTAAATTGGCTATGTTGTAGCGTTGGCATGATAAGATGCCATAGTTAGCTGACCTGGTGTGATGCTTCCTTTCTGTATTGTTCTGTAGTGGTGCTATAAGAACTGACACTGTGGCACTCAAACACGTCTTCTGATGCAGCTGCGCTCCAGAGGTTGGTGCTTTGGTGTCGATTTACTTGCAATTTAACAAAGTGCAACAACATTCCTTTTGTAGTGCTAAGGCGCTCATGGTGCTGTAACATTGCATGATGTTTTGTTGGGGCGCTACCTTGAATGAAAAAATAACAAAAAGTGGAGTGCTATGATGTTCTATTCCAAAGTTAGGACGTTAAAGCTGACGCGACATAGGTGCTTAGGGCACCGCAAGATTGATTCTAACTTTACAAATTTAAATCCTTTTTTCTAAGACATTTTTGCACAAGATCAATTAAAACACACATTTTTACTACAATTTAAGACAAGAAATAAACATAATTTTCACTTAAAAATCTCTTCAATATTATTATTTTGATAAATAATAAGATTATTTTATTTTTATTTTCAACAATATTTTTTTTGCTCTATAATTTTTCTCACACATCCCCTCACCATCTAATATTCATTTCTTTAAATTCTCCTCACAAAATCAAACCTAACTCCCTTTAAAACCCAACAAAGGCCAAAATATCAAATCATCAAGTACAAAACCTTTTGTAGTACCTTCAGCACCCTCTCAACCTTATTAATAAATTTATGTCATGAACAAAATAAAAGCCGTAGAAATATTGGCAATATAGAATTTTAAAAACCAAATGACACCTACTTAAGCATCATAGATCTAATAATTTTCCATCTTTTACTTCGTTATTTCATTCTCAAAAAGATTCTTCAATTGCACCAGTTTATTTTGGTTGTTCTGCGAATGAAATTAGCAACAATATTTTTCTTCCAACATGCCTAACATATTTTCAATTGGCAATTTATATCACAAAAGCTCTAAACACATGCAAAATAAAGAGAGAGAAACTAAGACATTAAGAAGAAAAGTGTAGAGGTTATGGACACGATCTAGGAGCTTTTGATGCCAAGTTACAGATGTGCACCATGCTTTATTAGATTTCAACACTAAATACATTGCTAACATTAAATACCAGCAGTGGAATTATCAGCTTATTTGTATGTAACATTAGGCAGTATTATCTTCTCTAACAATGTCAAACTTTGAACTAAGCTAGCCCTTTTCTCTGATGAACATAATCTGAAACAAGTAGATAGTTCTGCTATAGCATCATCAATGCCCTCATACACTATAGTTCATTCCAACTTGCAGAAGATTCTTGTTAGGTATCTGCAGATCAACAAAACCCTGCCTGCAGTTCCTCCTCAAGAAATCGTAAACATAATTGACAATCACTCTCTTGAGCAAAGAAGAATTCTCACTGGCCCTAACCTCACTGTGACCCAGCAAGTAAACCACTCCAGCTTCTCTTGATTTCTCTAAGAACCTAATCTCCTCCCCTTCCACACTAGAGTCCCCTTCCTCCCAGCTCTCATTCCTTATGAAGTTCTTAAGGTTCTCCATTAACAAAAGCTCAAATTCTTCATTCCCAATTCTCCTGTCTCTATAACCATATCTTGCAATGCACCTATACATCTTGTAGTCTTTAGGTCCAACTCTTTGCAGCAGAAACCGCTCCTCGGCCGGCACTGTGTTAACTGGCAAGTACTTAACAGAGACAAAGACAAGAACAGAGTGGATTGCTGGCAAGTTTGTGAGAAAATGAGGAAATATAGCAGGGATTCCATGAGTGAGCTCAGTATACAGGAGGCCAAGTCCTGGGACCCTTGAGATGCCAAGGTTAGAACCAAGGCTGTTTAAGTATTCTGTTGAGACCTTTTGCTCTACTTCAAAGTTATGACGCTTTGTCTGCACATAATTCCATACATACATTACAAAGTATAGAACGGAAGCAAAAGTAAGAGGAAGGTAGCCTCCACTTGTGAACTTGTACAGCACGGAAGAAAAGTAGACCAGCTCAAAGGAGCCGAAGCTTAGCACAAAGAGTGCAACTAGTGGTAGGCTTGTCTGCCAGACCATTAACATTATCAGAACTAACAGTGAAGAGGTGACTAACATCACTCCAACCACAGCAATACCTAGAAAATAGAGAAGTTCAGTTTGCAGCACAAATTATTATCTTAGGCTTTTAAATTACACCAAGAGATAAGATGAATAAAAAGAAAGTAATATTGTACATAATTTGCAATTTTTTATTAAGTTGGAATCGTTGGGTAAGATTGCAGAACATGTTGCCTCATAGAAGATAGGAGTTTGGGTGAGAATACTTGCACGGCTTTTCATAAATATTTAGTTGAGAAACCCTAACTTTTCAATACCACAGAAAACAAATAGCGCCAAATATCAGCTTTCATAAGTTTTGCCTAGAAATGAAGAACATTCGGCGACAAAATTCCTTCAAGCAATGCTTTTGTGTTGTTGGATACTTGTTGGAATTAGTGCAATTAATCAAGATATAAGATTCAATTAAGATATATGGAAAATACCCATTACAAAAAAAAATTAAGGTAAAAGTACTAACACAAAAACTTATGCTGATTAAGTGGACCAATAAAGACGTTTCTCAAATAGTAGTGTGAGATTCTTTCCCACTTAAAGAGAGCTACATGAAAAAGTAGACCACATATGATTCTATATAGATTTATTTTTCAGTGTACTAATTCCTTTTCTTTGGGAGAATAGTTTTGTGCTGAATACAATACTTAGTACGTTCCAGTTGTTACTCGAACTTGTTGGATTGAGCTATAGCCCACAACTAATCGGCCTAAGAATTACCATAGAAAAGCTAAGCTCCTTTCACGTCGCACAAATGACAGAACTATTGTTAAATTTGTTCTACTTTACCACCTAATAACAATCCTATCATCTATGATAGCTTATCATGCCACAGACAATTCTATGCTTATATGATCGGTATTGATTAACATGACAACACAACCAAAGATTTTAAGTTGAAGTCCGATATCTCCTATTAATTTCACATTGATAGGATAAACATAATTACATACTCAGTGTGCTACTGATCTACAAATACTTGAGCTAGTGTTACTCTCTCTCTCTCTCTCTCTCTCTCTCTCTCTCTCTCTCTCTCTCTCTCTCCCCATTCCCACAGGTTTTCAGGTTATACTCACAGATCTCACCTACTAGTAAAGTCGAGCATCACTCATAACTATATTTGAATTCAACAAAAGTCATGTTAATTAGTTGACACTTGCAAAGCTGAAGGAGCTTTCATGTTAGCAAAAAAAGTTACTTTCATAGATGTTGAACTGCAGGTTTTACTTTTTGTGCTGGTCAATTAACATTGTTTGGCAAAACCCAACCGTTTCTGCAACATATAACTTAAGTAAATGATTAACATAATTTCCATGACCTAACAAATCATTTTATGTTCATTCAGATTCATGGAAGGATCCTTTATATGATTCCAAACACAATGAATAATTTTTCATAAAGTTTGTAGCTATTAATCGTATTTGTCAGTTAAATAACGTAATGAAGTCTTGCTTTGGATGAGAATAAGGAGAGTTCATACCATACGCATTTCCAATATTGGTGGTTTCCTTGAAGGATGCAGTGACCAAAACACAGGCCAACATGAGTAGAAAGTTAATCTCAGGGATATAAACCTGGCCTTCATGTTTGTGCGATGTGTGAATGATTCTAACTCTTGGAAAGCAGCCTAACGCCATTGACTGCTTTATGATAGCAAAAGTTGCAGAAATCATTGCTTGGCTAGCAATGATTGATGCCATGACAGCAGCAACAAACATTGGCCAGTAAACAGACTCTGCAGAAACCGAAAACAAATACAACCAATTCATAAACCTGGCTTGCTTTTTACGGCTGAATAAGTGGTATAAGTGCATATATATAAGCTCTTCTTCTACCTGGAATTGATTTGTAGAAGGCATCGGTGATATTTTCGGGGAATATAGACAAGTAAGCAGCTTGTCCAACATAAGCACATATCAAACATGGATAAACTATTCCTGAGAAAGCGATCTGTTGAGACAAAGATAGAAATTTTATTAACAAATATGTATTCACGTGATTTCATGTTTGAAGACTAGCACAACACTTAACCTGAATTGATCTCACTGAGAAATGCCCTAGATCAGCAAACATAGCTTCAGTTCCTGTTCCATTGGAAAAAGACCACTTTTTTTTTTAGTGGCAAAAAGGTGTAAAGCTCAGAGCACTTCTAAGAAGGTTAGAGAGCTCAGAAAGCATACCCGTCATGCAGAGAACAACACCGCCAAGTGAGATCCATGCTGCTTTTGGATCTCTCTTGAAGTATGAAATGATGTAGATGGGGTTAAAGGCTTTGAGAACAGTACTATCATGGCGGAGAATATTGAAGATACCAATGCTACCTATTAACATGAACCACACAAGGATAGAAGGAGCAAAAGTGTAACCGACTTTATCTGTGCCAAACCTTTGGATCGAGAAGAGCATTACTAATATGAAAATTGAGATCATAGCTACAACATCTGAAAATTCAATAAAAAAAAAAAACAAATTAGATGATAAGAATCAAGGAAAACTTTATGATCAGATTCAAAGTTGTATAGTGCTTATGAATTATTGTTTTTTTAACCTTTACTCATCCCAGTATCAAATTTCCTTACTCCATCCACCGCGGATAGAACTGCAATATTGAGAAATCTTTCGATGAGAGGAAGCATTGTTGATGATTTACAGTATGGAAGATATAAATAGAACCAAATAAGAGACCTGAAATGCAGGGAGTTAAGATCCCATCTCCAATAACCATACATGTACCAAGAAGTGCCATGGAGAGCAGACCAGTCTTAGCACAATAGCTACTTTCCAAAGCCTCCTTTATTCTTTGAGCCCGCTTCAAATTCTTGTTTGGAATTTTTAGTTTATAGGCAGATAGCTCCATCTCTTCTTGTCTCTCATTTGGAATCGCACTGACCTTGGAATTCCTGCATATCAGTGAGTACAGAGCAAACGTTCCCCCTGCCAAATCAAACAAACACATAAAGAACTAGGTTCCTTTACTTGCTACACCTCAGAGAACAGAAAAGATTGGCTTTACCATCTCCATTGTCATTTGCCAAGAGGACAATGAAAACATATTTGATGAGCGGGAAGAGAGTAAGAGTGTAGATTATGAGAGACAGAGCGCCAACGACGTCGTTCTTGCTGGGAACTCTGTTCGAGAATGTGCTTGAGAACACATAAAGAGGCGAGGTGCCGATGTCCCCGTACACAACTCCAATGCTCTGAAAAGCAAGTTGTAGAACGGTGGCTATGGATACAACCTTAGAATATTTACAAACAGAAGGAGAAAAGTTAGAAAATAGAAGAAGCATGGGAAGTCTTAAAAGCAGTGCAAACATCTAACTAATCCATAGTTAACATGGCCCATGAGGCTCAGGGAAAGAGAGCAATGGGAAGAAGATTGAATGCTTACTTTAGAAGCACTGTGTAAACTAGAGATCTTGTTGGCTTCCTTATCGAGGGAATCCAAGCTGTGGAACTGTTTTTTCTTCTGGTTCTCTTCTTCGTGCACTTCTTCCAATGGTTCTCCATTCTTCTCCATGGGTTCAGATCCAAGCGTTTCTATGTTCAACACTACATCATCTCCCATGGTGAAGTAAACTGCTTAGAGACTAAGAATTATCTGCTAAGCGAGCCTGCTCTCCAAGATCACTAGGAGAAAATCAGAGCTTTTAAAAGCGGCAAAGGACGTGAACAATGCGGTAATGTTACCTTATCCCGCCACCTTGGAGGAATGGACTCGCCGACTACTCGTACCACGTGAGGGAAAGCGCGGCTTCTGTGTTCTTTCTTTCGTTTCCCGTTTTTCTAATAAATTCATCTGCTCAATCGTTGACTTGTATCGGTAGGCGCCACAGTGGTTGGAAATATCACATTTATTTTCTAGTGGGGAGTCTTGCCTCGGGAAATTCTGTCTAGTGTAGTGTTTGTTCGTGTAATACGTATTATTAATATTTTTCTTTGACAAGTTGAAATTATGCACTGTTATGCATTACTATTATGCATTAATATTTTGTTGACATCATTACCTACATAATATTTGACAAAACGTTTATGAGGTATGCCTAAAATAAAATCTATGAATTGTGCTCACATATCTTGTCCTTTTAATCGTGAACCTCTTCATGTTATGTTTTATTTCATATTCTAAGTTCATTTAAGAAGTATGCCTTAAAGTTGCATGTATATTTTATAATTGATTTGATACTATTATATAATAATTATTGATTTTTTCAAAACTGGGAAAGGTTAGTTATTAGGTTAATCTCACAAGCAAGAATGGAATTATATTTTCGATAGTAAGCAAGTAGCATGTTGGGCATGATGAAGCAACTCAACCTCGAGAGCGACTCACGGAAGCAACTTGTCTAACAATTCTAGAGATTATGCACTCCTAAAGACCGTAGGAGAACATGCCAAATAAGATCAAAAAGAATATCTCACATAGGCCCTCAAATGAGCTCTCCTTCTTTATCGGGTGGATATAAAAGATTCCTCATCAAGCGAGTGATTTTACATCCACCACATGCTTGGACCACAATCCCAACCACTCCTTCTCTCCCAAAGTGATCGTCCTCATACAAGCCCGCCTATATAAATAAAGCCATATCCAATTCAAGTTATACATGTGTACTTATACGTATCATTCTTGTAATCCAATATTGGGATCACACATGTAATAGACATGTTGTATACTCTATTTATGTCCATGTACATCATGATGAAGAATAAATGTACTTTCTCTTCTTTCTGTCTTTCTTCATCTCCTGTCATTTGCTCATATCAAGGAGCCATTCAAGAACCGCTCTAGCTTCATCCTTTCTTCACCCAACAATATAAGCTATAACAAAATACCCATTTATAGGACCCTCAATTCATCTCATCACGATTTATGATGGAGCCTCACTCGCCTATCTCCTCTCAAGTGACCCAAGATCTCTCACCCAAGTCACAAGTAATATTAGTAAGCCTATTAATCGTAGGTTCCCATTATATCAACACTAGGTCACATACTCACCCAAGTAAATTCACCTATTTGACATTATAGAGCTCACACAAAGATACAGTGGCAAAGTATTTTTTATCTGGTTATCCTTCTGCCAATTAGAGGATGATAGGTTTCTTGGATAGAATGTACATTATTGTAGGGGTGTTCTGTATAACATTGTATATTAACATTTTTATTGTAGCATTTCTTGTAGCCCTTAGAACCCTATAAATAAGGGGTGATGTTGAATTGTTTTAGATATATGGATCTTCTATCTTTTGGATGATTTTGATGGATTCCGATCTAGACTAAGATGTACACTTTTTACATGCATTGTGTAGATTCTTGCTTTCTATCTAGCTCTAATCTCCACTCTTTATTCTCACATGAAGGTTTTAGCTAACTAGTTGACCAAGTAGCCTTGCTAGTAAAGTTGAGTGCCACACACAATCACATTAGGATCCATCTTCTTCTTAGAAGCAGAGAGTTATGATTTATGCCACAAACTATGAAATAAGCTCTACTCGATGAGTGAGTTTAACAAGAACCATCAGTAACATGGATATTATTCAATAATGCACTCATCATGAAAGGGGTACTGCAAAGAGAAAGCACCATAAAAGGTTCTTCTAACTCCATAATTCTTTGAAGAGGACCAGATAATTAAGCACTTACTTCAACCTCTATCCCAGATCCCACTTGTATGCCAATGAATTTCAAGAGAATAAACCACCAATCAAATGAGCTACGAGAGTCAAGCTCTAGCTCACCAATGCCTTCTCTAAGGAAACCATTGAGGCTAGGCTGCCTCCTAAGTTCAAGGTGCCCCACTTAGGTCTTATATGGGTGAGACTAATCCCACTGATCATGTGGTGACCTTTAAATTAGTCTTTGTTAGATATTGATGATGCTCGTAAGTATCCCCTATTTATTATAGCATTTTAGGACTTGATGCTTAGATGGTTCCCTCAAATGTTGTTGAAAGTTATCACCACTTTTATTGAGTTTAAAAGGATATTTACGAGTAAATTCCCCAATGACATAAATCTCCAAAAGAGCTCAAAAGCTCTCATGAAGATGATAAAGAAGTAAGGGACTCATAGTAAGGTTTTTATGTAGAAATGCATGTAGTGAAAGATATTGAGCTTATCAATGCCTAGAAAATATTGATCCAAGGATTTAGAGAGGGTCCCTCCGTATTAGAATATGGGCTCTAAAAATTCTGCCCCAACCTTCGCCCGCTGTGCTTTTTTATTTATTCAGAGGGGAGTTTTAATAGAATTATGTTCCAGGATAAATTTTGCAAGACAGATGGGGATAAGACACTACCCAGAGATTTCGCCCTCATTTTGCGAGAACTTTATGATATGAGTTCTGGTTACCTATAGGCCAAGCCCCTATAGTTAATTACCACTCTCGATAATGAGAGAGAACTTTTGATTATGTCAATTCATCAAACAGATATGTTGTATTCATAGATACCTAGTATCAGACTTATAGTAGCAAGCAACAACAAGAACTCGATCATTGTGAAGTTAACTTTCTACCTTTTGCATGCTCTTTGGCCTAATCTTGTAAATCCGTCAAACTACAGGATTAATAAATCCAAGATTTATGATAAAATGAGGGAAACAGAGGATTTATTCGACTGTGAGATTTGCAGGGGATAAAATCCCATTTGGCAAGATTTAGCATAAATCATCCTCAATTCATGCATAACTCCCTTTGCTGAATTGCCTTATTTAAGCAAAAAGAGGAAGCTGAGGATTTAATTTGCTTGAGATTTAGATCATATTATTATTATTATTATTATTATTATTATTATTATTATTATTATTATTATTATTATTATTATTATTATTATTATTATTATTATTATTATTATTATTATTATTATTATTATTATTATTCTTATAATTAATTAAATTAAATATAAAAAAGAGAATGCTTCGATTGCCTCGATATGCATGCCAACACCCTCACCGGTTGTCAAGTTATAATCCCTTAATCTTAGAACTCCAAGAGCCCACCTCAAATCTTGCAGTGTAACAAAACAATCACCTATACATGCTTTTATTAGCATGGTGGGAGTAAGAGTGTCGTGGTACTTGCAACAAGGTGGGTAATCACCTGAACCCCATTTTACCATTTGCGGTATACTGAAAAATTGTATATACATTCCTTTATTATGCATGGTGGGATGGGCTAGGTCAAATTACTTATAAGTACCCTCGAGAGAGGGTAATGCCAACTATCTTTTAAAATAGGTACATTCAAAGACCCAATACATGCCTTTATTGCGCATGGTGGGAAAGAAGACTATAGCCACGGTGTCTAAGGATGCCTACAATACATGCCTTTATTGTGCATGATGGGAAGGCCCAAACTCCTATAGTTTTCCCCTAAACCGGGGAGATGTTGGGAGGCTGCTAAATTTTCAATTGAAGACACAAAGACTTGGACCACAAGGGGCTTGAATAAAAGTGGGAGGTATAATTTGAACATTCATATAGGACTTGATTTGAACCTTTTTGAACCACATAAAGAACCCAAATTGAACACAAATAAACTAAGTTTGAATTTGAATAAAATGCATGAAAATTTGAAGTCAATGTGATAATAAAAAATGGGACTTGAACTTAAGCTTAAATTTTAACATAACTTAAATGATTAACAAATATTTTTGAATTTAAGTGAAATGAAATTGAATAGAGAACTTGAACTCAAGTGAACTTGACATTGAACAATGAGGTGAACTTAAAATTGACTTGGACTTGAATACGACATAGTGAATCATATTTGGACTTGATTTGAATCAAGCACAGTGGACAAGAACTTGAACTAGTACATGGACTCGAACTAATTTGGACACTAAGTGAAGTGAACTCAGACTGGACTTAGAACTTGAGCTACAATGAAACTTGAATTTGAATCATAACACTAAGCTCTTAAAGGTTCAAGAATTATCATTCCAGTAGGATTGCAAATACTAATCATGGAGGATGATCCATCTGAATCTCATCTACGCAAGCAAAGACTCACACATAAAGTCATTACAAGATTTGGCATAAATCTTATTTGAGCAATCATAATAAACTTATAATGATCATCTCAATTGGAAGGAAGGGATTGATATCAAACTCATCTTGCATCTTGTAAACTATCTTTGAAGATGAAAAGTTTGCAAGTAGAACTAAACTACATTTGAGGACAAAGGATTTGCAATATGACGATATATTCAATGCTACAACAAAGGACTTTCAACCTACACATAAGCAACAGGAGGTCCGTAGTATCCATATTAGTGTATCCACAAGTTCATGCAAAAAGAAGGATAGCACTAATGAAAGAAACTCCCAATGAATATGATGACTCCTTCACACAATGGTGATGCATTATCTACAAATGAAGGTCTTATGACCTAGTTGTGAATACATACATAAGCATATACAGAGCATATATGAGGGATGATGTGTAGCATTTACATCAATCTTACAAGTGAGCATGAAGAAATGCAGTAGTGTCCCTATCATTAACAACGATTTGAATATAAGAAAATACACAGTAAAAGGATATCAAATGCACACAGAAGAGGAATAATTTTATTAAAACAACTTGGAGCATTCAATTAAATCAATCTGTAAATAACAATGATATATGCTCTACGAGTGTAATGGGTCCCTTATGATTGCATGTACACCTTCAACATCAAATAGCTCATAAATAAAGATATTAACTCACTTTTGAGTAACAATAACATTACAACATATGATGATTATGGGGTCACTCTTATAGTCAATGTCAATAAGGCATCCAAAAAATACATGAATCCCCTACAAGAAGAGAGAAATGTTGATGGTATGACTTGAGGATGATGGCCATATAAATCTTGTAAATGGTCGTTCCAAATGCATACAATGATT